ACCGTTAGGTCGCACGGCCTGACATCGACCTGCCATCCAGCCATGCGACCCAGCATCCGGCCGTGCGACCCAGCATCCGGCCATGCGACCCGCCATCCGGCCATGCGACCCGCCGGTGGCTTTCTCGCCTCCCGATAGCGCAGTGCTTCGCAACCGGTGTGCCGCGACTGAGTCCCAGATGTGCCGCAGTATTTTCGGAATTATAGGAAAAGAATATCACTGCGTCTTATCATTCTCAAGCTTACGACTGACGAACGTCGGTCGAATTGATCAGTGGGTAATGAAAATATCATACGCACGACATCGGGACATTTGATTCGGTATGCCGTGAGGATCGAGCAAACTTGAAAGTGTGCCGTGAAATAAAAGAAAAAAGGTTGAGAAGCATTGCGATAGAGGGCAAAGCGTTTCTCCTCAGGCTGATTGTGCAGCACAACTTGTCTTTAAAAAAAATGCGCTAAACTATGCTATAATATCAACCGAAGAATCCAGAATATATATATTTTAACACATTAAATCAACACAGGTTCTGTGTCACGAGAGAGTCCCAACTTTTTTTCTGCTGGTAATTAATATAATTGCCTGTAGCACCCTTTTTTTTCAGACGATTAATTTCATTGTCCGCGACTATATTGCCCACGTGACAGTATTTCATTTAGTTTGGGGCAAACGTAACGTCTAAACAGCAAGTATATTTGTTACTTGGACAAGTAAAGGTCTAATTTGGATTCCTTGATTCAATAATTAGTAAGGCAAAGAGAAACAGCAGATAAAAGCTTTAAATCGACACCTTCGGGGGTATCACAAGCCGCACTGAAAAATAAAGAGCCTTTTAAATATAAATCAAGGTGTCGAAAGAGGAATCGTTGCCCAATCTTCTCGGATGGAGAGATAAATAAAGAAAAAGCGGGTCTGGCTCAATTCCATTCAATCCGACTGGATTCAAAGGGGAACCCGGAACGATCGAGCTGTCCCGGATCGGGATGTCCCGGATCGAGCTGTCCCGGATTATTCATTACGCAAGCCGGTCTACGTGAGATGATAGATCAGTTCCGTGATTGAAATTGAAAGCGCCTGGGGGGCGGATGATTGAGATGCTTTTCTAATTAAGCGAATCCGGATGAGAGAGGGAGACTCTCTCGGGGATAGACGCAGTCCTATTTCCAAGGGGGGATCAATATCTTTTTCCATATAGAATCCTTCCCCTCCGCTCAGCCACCTGCCTCGCCATAATCTGGGGATCCATCTCGCAAACTTGCCAATCTGAGTGGTCCCGTTTCGAGCTTTTGGTACGGGCCGACGGTGGGAAACAGATTGATTGCCTCCACTTTTTCTCCCCTCTCGTGAATAGAGGGGGAAAGACGTATAGAATCATGTGTAAGACTTCTTTTTTTTTTCCTCTCTTCCCCTCTCACCCTATATGTCACACTGTGCCACGACTATCTCGGAGATAAGGGCGCCGGCCTCCTATGGGGATACTCCATCCGCGATACACTCAGGCTGAAAAATGAACTTTTTCCCCGCGCGTCCATCTACCCAGGATATGACCCCATCTGCACTCGGATGAATCGGCCGGGATTTTCCCCATATCGACGACTCTGCGTAGAATCAACAGCTTGATGGCACTTCGTGCAGATCCGATTAGGACGGAAAGACGGTAGATATGTGCCGGGATAACGGTGTTGATGTTAATCGGCCTCGTTCGGTTGCCCCGATCCTATTAGGATCGAGAGAAGGGAGAAGAGGACGAGGGGAGATCAGGGCACATGCGCACTGGCTCTCCTGCCCCGCAGTAATGGGTCGGACGAGGGGAGATCTCGCGCATGCGCACTGGCTCTTCCTCCTGCCCCGCCGTCGTGGGGGGACGAGGGGGCGAGCGAGGCCACGGCGCAAGCCGCGACCGAGGAGGGAGACTTAAAATGACCATCATTCATTGTTGCTCTCATTCCGGATCCAGCCTCTTAATTGTCCCAGACATGACACCTTGGGCGCTGCTTCTCTTCTTCCTCTTCCAGCCTGGTTCCCTCTCTGATCACAGGAGGCACCGACATGACGCCGGTGAGTCTGTTTCCTCGTTTATGATCGGGGCCCGGTCTCGTTGGGGATTCCACTCCATGAAATTTTCGTACTTGAGTGACACCAAAATAGCTTGAAACTCTTAGACAGAGGACGCGATTCGGATGTTCCCTTTGCATCTATAATGGAAAATTTGTCGATTGCCTCGCCATCCTCGTTCGTGCTACCTGCAACTTTCGTAGCGGCTGTGTACCCAGTGCGTCTGAATAGCGAGATGCGAGTTCGATTGTGTACACGGCGGCTACTCGTTACTAACGGGGCGACGGAATCCACCGGATCCACACCAACCTTTTTTTATTTTCGTCAGATGAAGTGCATATGCGTGAGAGAGACGCTGAAAGTAAGGAAGAATGCTGAACTTACGACGACAAAATTTTAAATAGAATCGGAACGATTTCGACAGACAGACGCGCTAATTTTTTTGGCCGAACTCTGCAATTTTAGTTTCGCCAAGAATATATATTTTCCGTGCACCATTGGAACCTGTTAAGATTCGCCTTAAAGCTGAACTTTAAGCTTAAAGCTTAAGGCTTAAGGCTTCAAAAAATTTCATTGACTAAAAAAAAGCCCAACATTCGACCTAAGGAACAAGGTGCTCCAAAACTGTGATGAAAATCAGAAAGCTCACAGGGGAAAAAGGACTCAGAAGTTGTCACGGGGTGTTCGATGGTCCGAACTCAGTTTGACGGAAAATTTTCAAGAAGGCAAGCGCTTGCAGTTTTAAAAATTTGCAACAAATAAATTTCTGGCGAAAATGGTTGGAAGCCGCGATATCGGCAGGGAAAATCTCGCGAAAAGCCTGGACGGAAAAGAGGGTTTTAATTAATAATTTTTTTCGTCTTTTCAAGAATGCATCAGGAATGGGTCAAGGACGTTGGGATTGAAAGGATTCGAAGAAAACTTGAAGTGAAAGATCGAGGCTGCAAAACACAAGAACCACTTTTTTCCTTCTCCGTGCAAAAAGATGGCAAAAAAAATCAGCAGACCGTTTTTTGCTTCGCTTATGACTATTATTTCTTATTCGAAATCTAGTCGCTTATGTGCGCAGGCCATATTTTGGCATTTGCAAAATGTATCTGCAAATTCTGTTGAATTATTTTATTCTCCATTCGTTCGGAAAAGTCGCGAGTTTTTTTTTGGCGACAAGATTGAAACGGAATGATCGCAACCGCACAACTGTTGCGAGAAACTCGACGCGTCTGGTCCGATATAAGAGGATACGTTAGCCTTCGGTTCCAATTGGCCGTTTGGAACCAATTGGCCAAACGGTTGGGGATGTGAGTCTCACACACGAACATCGTGCCGATACGAGAAGTAAATAGCACCTGTTTTTTTTTTTTTTGCAGTAAAAAAAAGTCCGAATAGATTTGCCACTTATTCCAACGCACGCCGTCTACCAGGCACAGAAATAAATATTGCGAGGGTTCGTCAAAAATTCGTCTGCCTTAGATTGGAGTGATTTGCGCTCGGGTCCAAAAAAGGAATATAATGGTTTTCGTGAAAGTCTCTTTATTTATTGAACGACCTTCGTAATCGGAGTTGAGGACTGAATTTTTTATTCCTTTTTTTCTCCTCTCGATCGTTCCCTGTGACGGCCGCGTGAAATCCGTGACGTCATCGCGGACGATGACGTCAGGCGAGATTTTCGATCGTTCCGCATCGGTTCGGCGCTGTCAACGCAGAACATATTGCATATTAATAAGTGAATATAAAATTCGCGGCGATCGCGTGTCATCAGCTGCTCTAATCAGCCGCTCTTTTGCAACACGAAAACGAGGAAATGAAGCGCGGCAAGGAGGCATCAGGTCGACAAACGACTTGATGCCTACTTGCACTCGCGGGCTTAAGCTTCTAAGAGTACGCTTGCAAGAGTACTGGTACTTTCAGACCCCTATGGTCTGAGTGCATCTCCAGAGTATCTTAGAGGTATAACGAAAACTTCAGTTTCGTTATTAAGAAATTTATTGCAGTAAATATTAGACAACTTAGTTCCTAATTACAGTTCGAGGGTGCAACTAAAAAATTATGCTGGTAAGACTTACAGTTTCTTTCCCGCTCGTTCCTCCGAGAATGAATGGATTGCTACTCCAGGGGCAAAAAAAAAGGAATACATTTAAAATTAAAATAATAAATAATCAAACAAGAAGCCCAATCATACCAAGTAGATAAATCACATCGAAGAAAAATTTAAATTTCACCTGGGTCTGCACCGGAGCTCCGCGGCAGGATAATCTGGATAATACCGCTGAAAAGGGAATCAGCGTGGTTCCCCACTCGGCACGAGGCCAAGGTTTCCAAGTATTTGGCAACACCTTCCATCAATGCGAAGTTTGATGAGTACTTCAGTGCTGAAGTACTGAGTTGGACTCGACTGTCGGCTACTTCCCGGCCTCGGGTTTCTTGATACATGAGGTTACGATCCAAAACCACAAAAAAGTATCCGACATCTGAGAAGACACGAGCCAAAACCGCAGGGGGAATGGCAGGGTTGCCGGATGTAGTGAATGGCAGTGTTGCCGGATGCACTTGACAGCACCGAGAGCGACGATCTCCCCCCCCCCCCCCCCCCCCCCCCCCACGTGCCCCACCCCCCCCCCCCCCCCCCCCCGCTTTCACCTTGCATTGCACCGGGTGCCTGAGGACGAGAGTGTCGCAAGACTCTCGGCGAATTGAAAATCACATTTCGACGTAAAATTTCGATGTAAAAAAAAACTCGTAAACCCGGACTCACGCAATGCAGGAAGCGGCGAAAACGAAGAGCGACCGAGGATCTCACGTCGCGACCAAGTAAAATAATAACAGGCCCTTAAAAAATGCACGAACGATGCCTTCGAGATGGCGAGGCGATCAAGATGTCGCGATCGGGGGAAAATGCGGGAAAACTTTGATTTTTGCGCGGAATTCTCCCAGCTTCCGACGAACCCCATCTTCGTTGCCTGTCGTGAGCTCCAAATTCAGCAAATAATTTTGCATCGCTACGGTTTTGGCATGGCGACATTCTGCTTTTTTTTTATCCATGCAACGTCACCTGATACACAATACTTGATACCTGATGCCTGAGTATCAGGAGATTCAAAAGCGCAATCTGTCCCACGCACATTTCAAAAGAACTTTTGCGAAAGAATGAGACACATGTGGAATGCCTCTAAGTGGAAGCGACGGATCCGAAAGTGTGACGAGTGAAAGTGAAAGTTTGAAAGACGCACATGTGCGCAACGGAATCTCGTAATGACTCCCTCGGTATCGATGATAGAGTGCCATTGCGAAATTGCGTGTCGTGCCAAAGAGAATCCGCGAGATCCGGTTGTGCACAGTTTTCGCGTGGCTTGCGGGACTGCGAAATCTAGATCCACGCTAAAAAAAAATAATTGTGCGAATGAGAAAATTTAAATTTAAAGATTTTTTTCAGAGGAAAAGGCGCTGCGAGATTCTCCAATGGGAAGGGATCCATAATTTATTAACAATAAATTATGATAAAAATTAAAATGTTACCATGAATTTGCTGCACTTCGCTTTGCACTTTTTGTCCTGTAAGGAAATTGGCACAGAAGCCTCTCGCGGGTTTGCATTTATCGCTACGAATGAGACTCGCAATCCACATACATATCATTTCTTGAATGAGTTAATTTGCTGGTGACTAGGTAAAAAAAAGTTCATTTATTTCAATTTTAATATTTGATGATATTTGAGGAACTTTTCTCCAATTTCCTCTCATTCCCATGCCGCAAAAGGCGACGAAAATCGCAAAATCTAACGGAGAATGAAGTCCAGAAAAGAAATATCCTGTCTCTAGTACAAGTACAAGTTCAGGTACTCTGAGCCTTTCCAGATGATAATCACCGTCTGAATTCGAATGAAATGCTCAACCGGAAAGCGACGGTTGGTTAGAAACGGTTGGTTGGTAACGATTGGGTGGTGACGGCTGGTTGGTGACGGTTCTTGGCACCATATTACCCTGCAAAAACGAGACTGGGGCAGACTGTACGAGTTCATGATGCCCCCCCCCCCCACCACGTCAGCACGCTCCTCAAAAGAAGTCGTAAAAGAGGGGAAGATCGAATGAGGGGAGCAGATATTTTCAATTAAAGTGGAAGGAAGAGCGGAATCGTGTTCCCCGTGCGTCCCTCATAATGTCGTGCAATTAGCATCAGCGTGCGTGCCGACTCCTTTTTCCCCTCATTATCTTTCGGAGAGATCTTTTGCCTGCATCTTCGGGCTTTTCGGTCGACCTCGCCTCGACCGATCGACACAGTGTCGACGCGCCCGATGAGTTCCGGGTCGGAAAGCGAGTCGCGAGTCGGATCGACGCGAAATACGGAAGGAATTCCTCAGAATCCTTCCGCCGTGACCGGAGAAAGTGAATTCCGAATTTCCGGCATGAAGTCGGTGAAATCCGCCATGCGACACATTTCCTGTCGCTCTTTTCCGCTTCCCCCCCCCCCCCTCTTCTTTTCCCCCCCTTTTTTTAATTTTATGAGCCCACCTACGCCTTCGCATTCCTCAGGATTCTTCTTTCTTTAATGATAAATTTTTTCTTGCCTTTGACGAGATTATTCTGGTTCGAGCCGTTCATCCTCCACGGCATACTCTCAGCTCAACAGAATCTGAATGAAATCTATTCTTAGAATGAAACAGATTCAGCGAAAAGCGTCAGGAAAGGCTCAAAATAGTTTAAACCCTGCGATTTATAATTTGCTCGATATTGCGGATTACCTAAAATGACGGCACTCGAGACTCCCATCACTCTTTCCCATTTCGTCGAGCCGTAACGAAGTGCATGCAAAGGGATTAATGGCCTCTCGTCCGTCATCTGCAATTGGTCCATCGCCATCAATTGGCCCATCGCGGAAGTGACGAAACGGTCGCCATAAATCGCGCCAGCGGCTGCGTCCGATTGCGACGGTTTTTGAATTTACGAGCCGGGGTTCCTCATAATAATGCCTTCCTGGCGCCCGTAAAAATCCGGAATATCGAAATCCCATTGTTTTTTTTTTTCAGACGTGCAAGTGCTGCCGAGTTTCACTCGGCCCCTGAGGAACACGGCAGTGGCACTGGGACGAGACGTCACGCTTTCATGTGAAGTCAAGGACCTTGGCCGATATCAGGTAGGCATGAGCCACGTGAGCGCGATTATGTAACACGAGACCGCGGGGCTTGAATTTGTTTTTCTGCTTCACTTATTTTTTTATCTCAAGGTGATTTTTTCCCGGCTTTATGGCTGCGAGAAGGTCGTTTTGACGAAACATTGCTCCCATTCGCTCTTTTTTTTCATATCCTTCATTCACTTTTATGACATGCACGACACGCATCCCGTTTTTTTTCTGACTCGACCGAACCGTGCACGAACAGGTCGCCTGGATCCACCTGAATCACTCGGCCATCCTGACGGTGCAGACCCACGTGATCACGCGGAACCCCCGAATCAGCGTGTCCCACGAGAACCAGGGCACGTGGTTCCTGCACATCCGAGATGCCAAGGAGGAGGACGGGGGTCTCTACATGTGTCAGATCAACACGGACACGGCGAGGAAGCAGGTGGCCATGCTCAAGATACTCGGTCAGTGGGTCTCGTGCCTCCCTCGTACCGAATGACATCGCGGCGCTGGTGACGTGAGGAAGGCCGTTGGCGTCAGCTGGCCCATGCCGATGGGGCGATACGGTTCATGCTGTAGGCTTCGGGAGTTCAAGGATAAAAACAAACCTTGTGACGAAGTCGAGAATATCGTCGGGCTTCTAAACACGCATCCGCTTAAACAGCCTCACGACCGTGTCGATACGTCCCCGGGATTCCTTTTGCTCTCGAGACAAAAGAGCCTGCTACTTATCAGGTTTTCATCCATCTCTGAGCTAAAAGCATATCCCGTCCCGTATGCATGTCGGTTTGGGAAGGAAACCGTAAAGTTTTAGTTTCTCCATGCATGCCCTTCATAAAATCGTTAGGAAGCACGAAGGTTCCCTCGTAAGGGAAATCACTGGCTACACGCTTTCTCGAGACAGTCACCTCAAGGACGTGATAGAATAACTCTCATTTTGAGCGGAATAAGGAAAATACACGAATACGTCGATATTTTGTTTATTTACTTATTAAGATTTAAAATTTGTATTTAGAATAGGCTAGTGAGGAAGAGCAACGCAAAGATATTTTCATTTATTTAGAAACATGAATCCAAAGTTCAAGTGTAAGAAAGAAATTCAATCAATAAAGTGGGAAAGTCCGGTCCTTTTTCTCAATATATTGCCCCGACTATGCTCCCCACCATTTTTTTTGCATGCCAATTAATTGCATGGGACTGCGTCGCAAGTGATGACACTCATGACGATAAACATGTTGAGGGCATATTGAGGGCGTTTGCTCAACCGGTTTTCCGCACGACAGGTCGCATTAGAGTCGGACTCGATATGGCGTCTATGGTAATTCCATGAAGCTAATGGTACATCGAGATCACCTTTGACAAATCTACTCGGAGGGGGGGGGGGGGTGTTTCCTTGCGACGGAGACTCAGTCCGCTCTATAACGAGGAAAACTTGCGATTTTTCTCTGACAATAGGTTCTAACTGTTTTTATGGACTCTCGCTCAGCGGGACACCGTCTTCATTCGGAAACAAAAGAACTATGTTCCTCCTTCACATCCGATTCTGACGTCATAAGAAATCGAAATATTTCAACAGGGATAGCAGAAATTCCGATTGGATAAACCTTTCTATATATTCCTTAAAATAAGTTATTTAAATATCCCGGGGGGGTAGGGAAAATCTTCAATTTCAAATTTGAAAGGGACTGCGGAAAGGAGTATGGCTTCATCACAAGAAGCCTTTTTTCTCTAAATAAGCCCATATTCCCTGAAAGTTTCACGAGATCCCCTTCACTAAGAGCAGCGACTTTGTTCTCTGTGCGACGACAGTGCCTCCGAACATCATCGACGAGGAGAGCAGCCGCGAGGTGTCGGTGTCGGAGGGCGACGACGTCCTGCTGGAGTGTCATGCCTCGGGGGTCCCCCCGCCGACCATTCACTGGACCCGGGAGAACGGACAACGCATCGCCGTGAATCGCACCTTTAGCGGTACGGTCACGTCCATGAGCGAACTTCTTTACTCGGAATGAGCACACACGAGACAGTTGTAAATTCAAATGATATTCTTAATCGGCATAAGTCACGCTTTGTTCTGGATTTCCACGCCGGTTCCGGGATATTTTTAGCCATTTCTGATTCAGCCTCAGGCTGAATCAGGAATCAGGAGGCCTTTTTTTTTAACGCAAATCCTCAAGTTCATTCTCCATTATCCAGTCGTGTCTCCCAGAAGGTAAACCAATAAGGCCCCAAAAAGAATTACTCACGAGAATTCGTGGAACGAGGATCAAATGGATTGATCTCCTTGTCTGACGTTCTCTCTTACGACTTCGTTCCCAAGAACAGTAGAGCCAGCCTCAAAATACTCCGGTGGCAAGAAGCGCCATTCTCTCTCTTTGAAAAGGAAGGGCATCGTCCCTGTGGACGAAAGAAATCATTCTACGTTAAATAGTGTATGGGAAGGGAAGAACCCCTCCTCCACTTCGCTCTGGTTCACAATGGACTCCGGTCACGGCAGAGGAAGAGACAACAGCCGCCATGCAAACGTCCATAAAGGGAGCCTTCATCTAGCATGTATCCAAAGCCAAACCCGCAAAGCTCGTTCTCCGCCCAAGAGCGACTCTTCCCGACATTTATTCACGCTGCTTTTTTGTTTTAAATAGATCCTAATGAATTAATGGCACCACGAAATGGCCTCTTCACTTCTTAACGCTAAGTCCTCCGTAGTGCTGCGGATCCCAGACTACTCTCGGAATCTGTTTGAAGAGCGTCTTCCATCCCATATTTGATTTGTACATCTTTAACCATGCGACTTGGACGTGGGATCAGGAACGAAACATAAGGATTTGCGAAATTTAGCACCACCAGCATTGCAAACTATTTCCGGGCAGAAATGAACCATTCTCGCGCATGATTAACGCAGACGAAGAGCAAAAGAGTGAACATTGTTCAAGGTAAGGAGAATCTAATTCCTAAGAATAATGGGAGAACATGCGAGTTGCCCGAGTAATCCGGATACTTGGTTCACGAAATGGGCGACTGATGAACGATTAGACTCTCATATCTCGACGAATTTTCACAGAAGAAGCCGTGAATCCCCTCCCTGAAAATAAATATCAACTTTCAGAGCAACCACAAGACAATTAAGATGAATAAAAAGAGGGAGTGCTTTTTTCCAAAGAAGTTATCGAGCAACGCTCATTTATTTGCTTGCAGTATTGAGGTATGAGGGAAGTCAGATGGTGTTACAGAAGATCAATCGGAGGGACATGGGCTATTACCTGTGCATTGCATCCAATGGCGTTCTTCCTCCGATGAGCAAACGGGTTCTACTCGAAGTCAGATGTAAGCGCGGAAGTCAGCTATGGAATGTAAACGTTCTGAAGCCGGATAATGGTATGGTATTGCGAATTGTGGAATTTTGCAGTCGGGCCGACTATTTGGCTTCCGCATCAGCTGGTCGGGGCCCCGCTGGGTCAGACCGTGTTGCTGGAATGCTACGTCGAGGCCTTCCCGAAGGCCTTGGTCTATTGGCTCACTGATAAGGATGAAGTCATTCAGTCTTCCCAGCGCTACACCATATCGGAAAAGGTCTGTCTGAGTCTGTCCCAGCTCCCTAAGTATAATTTTAAAAGAAATTCTAAAGAATAAAATATGCAGAATATTATTGAATTTAATAGAACGTTGAAAATGTAATATTCTTTTGTAATTTAAAATAGAACTGAGGAGAACTGCATCGGGCTGCAAAGGTTCCTTTCGAGAATCCACTGGAGTGCATTTTCTCTAGGGGTCTTTTCTCATCAAGAGGAGGAATTTCCTAATTAACTAAAGAAAGAGATTGCGACGGCATCCAATTACCCTACTGGATATTTCCACCCTCGCTTGGACACGTGGGAAAAGGCTCCATTTTGCACAGGTCGTCAAACGGAACCAGGCCTCAATATCGGGAAGAAATTACTGTTGACACGGGATCGACGTCATTTTCTCCTAGAAACGGAAAGAAAATTCCCGGCGCAAACAAACGGCCCGGGATGTTTGTTTGCAGCCGAATCTTATTAATAGCGACGAAGGAGGTGCGAATATGGCAGAGACGAACAGAAAGTGTATGTACAGTATCGTGTTGAGAGAAAGGAGGATAGGATCTTCCAGGAAGAGAAGGGGGGGGGGGAAGGAGGAATGAGAGAAATAACGAAGCTAATCTAGGGGAAAGGCAGTCTCTTTTGAGCTGCAGCAAAGCGATAGTTATCCGATTGATATGGCTTGATTGCGCTCACATCTCCGCTCTCGCGCTCTGATGATCCTCGACTGACATTGTAGGGGACACAAATGCCATTTACCTGACACGCAAACCCAGCTATATCTTTCTTCATCCCGAGTTAGAGGTCCGGGTTAAAATGCAAGAGAATTTCATATCATAAATTGTCACTCAGAAATAAATACTTTCATGATATCAATGAATCTTCAACCGAACTTCACTTTTACCGTGACTTCTCTTCACTCTCCTTCGATCCACGGAAGACCATTTAGGATTTGGTAGGGGAAAGAGGAGAGCTTTGTTATGATGAGGTTCATTGACTGTGCATGCACTTAGGATCGCGTGTCCCTTTATCGCTCATTCAATCGTTCTTTGTGGAATCGGCCTCTCAAACGGATGAATGCGACACAGGGGGGGGGGGGGGGGGGGGGGGGGGACCCGCGGCAGGGGGGGGGGGGGGGGGGGGGGGGGGGGGGGAGGAGGGAGGTCCAGCGGCCTCGTCTATCGGCTCTCATCTCCTCCAATTATGACAGGACCTATACACTAACCTCGGCCCGTGTCCACACGATGAGCATGAAAAATGAATATTTGTGCAATCGTTTTTTGGGTTGTGCAGCGGGGACCCGGACCGTATAAGACGCACGTGACGTTGCAGATCGGCAATTTGCGACGGGATGACTTAAGAACGTACGTATGCTTGGCAAGCAATCCCGCTGGAGATGCCAGGGCTTCGGTCAACGTTTACCGTAAGCACGCCGAAATAAACTTGCTTCCGAATCCCTTAATTCCTCCCAAATGAAATCTATTCGTTGCTGTGATCTTGGTTTTAGATGCACCGGTAGCAACCCCACAAGACTTGTCGTCTGCGACGACCAACCCACCGAGTAGCAGCCAGGAATCAGTCGCCCAGCAAGCCGACAACGACCAAGACGGGGAACAAGACGTTGCTTTCATCGTCATCAATCAGGACAAGAAAGACTCCGGTGCCGCAGACTCGAGGACTGTCGTGTGTGTCGGTGGTGCCGGCATCCTTCACCTCATCCTTCACATTCTCCTTCTGGGACTCACCTGAACCTCTCCTGTCAAATGAGTTACGTTTAAGATGTTAAAATGAAGTGTCATCCCGACCTAAGAGTACCTCGAGAACTGTGAACCTGTTGAACAGAATAAAGCCGTCGCTGTTCTTTCGCTAAGACTCCTTTTTTTTTCCTGCTAAGTATGGGGGAAACCTCCGCAGGAGATCCACGAAAGCGCACATGCCAAACGATTGGGGAGAAACTCAAAGACGGGGAATCATGTAGGCTTTTACGACTCGGAGGGCCGAGGTCCCTTCGTGTCCGTGCGAGTGAGAATGCACGAAACCCCGTGAAGGGCCCATAAATATCCCAGGACTCTCATTCCTCCATTAAACACGGACATTCAATCCGGGGATGAAAACTTTACGTTATTAATATCCCTTCGGAACCGTCACGAAGTGTGCATTCCCGATGAGACCGATAGGATATGAATAATCTCGACGACTCGTTCTCGTCAGCGCCGAGCTCATTCAAGGATCATCCGCGATGATCGCGCCTGCATTCCTGAAAAGATCGAGATCGATCCCGTCTTCGCTTGACCGTGTTAATGATGCATGCAGATTCGCCGATTGCTCGGGACATCCGCTGAAGAACTCGATCCCCAAGCTTCGGAAAACCCGGGAATCCCCAAGCAAAAGGGTGCCTTAAAAACGAATCAATCACTCGCACTCAAAAAGCTACATAAAATGTTACATATCTCTGCCATCCTCGCGGCGAGATTATGCGAAACGAATAAAAGAAGAAGAAAACGGAGAGAAAGAGAGAGAGAGAGATCTGCAAAGAACCTATAAAATGGTACTTACGTTACACCTGTAGTAAAATGCAATTGGCAACAAAATCTGTGCTTTGCGGTTTCATGAAATCGAAGGGAGGAACTTTTTCTTATACACGCTCGACCTAGATTTGATCGAGAGGGTCAAAGACAGCCCTGATAAAATGTACTGCACAATATCTCCTTCGATCCCTTAGTAAGTCGACGTAATCCCCCAAGATAGGACGTCAATCACAGGAAGCCTTCCTGGTGCGAATGTTTGTATGCATGCCAAGTGAGCGAGGATTTCCCGGAGAAAATGTCACCGGAGAGGAGCATGCAGAGGAGGTGTCAAAGAGGATAATCCTTTCCCTCGTTTCCTTTTCCCTTTCCTTTTTCCACGCTTCTGCCTTCGAATGGCAATCCCGCCTTTCGAGCGCAGCCGAGCATACGCTCGTTCATATTTCCCACCTCAGAGACCCTGAATCCTCTCGTTATGCACCCACAATGCGGCGCGTCCCCGGAAAACGTCTGAGAATTACTTTTAATGGAAGAGATAGATTTTTAAAAAAAAACCTATTGTGGGGCGGGGGAGGGAGAGGGTGGGGGTCGGGTGAGGAAGAAGGCATTATTGAAATCGACACGGAATCGCAGAACCCATTCTGTCTTGATTGTCTCGGAGAATGGAATTAGAGAGGAAGGAGTTGATATGAGGGCACGGAATGAGGGAAGACATTGCGGGGTCATCAGCGGAAATGACCCTATATCTCCGAGATACCCTCAATGACACAACAAAGGGTCCCTCATTCCAACCTCATTTCAAACTCCTTTTTTCTTTCCACTAACCCGTCTCTCTTCCAGAACGAAATGAGTCGTTTGATGAGTGCACCAAGTGCGTCGACGCCAGTCTCCAATCAGTGCTTGCGGAGACATAAGCCAATGTTCAGCAATTCACCATCAACCCAAACAAGTTAATGGTTGATGGTGGCCTGGTTAAGTCACTGAACGGAGCATCTACCCAGCACTTACCTATTTTTCCTTATACCAGCATGGTGCTCGTAGAGGGTGACTCCTATTAAAAATTGAGACATTTTCTTTCAACAGACTTGCAACCTTTTCATTGCCATTCAGCAGGCTGAATGAGGAATATTACATTGAATGGCACTATTATATCTCCTCTATGAATAGTGCTTCCGAAGTTTTTCTTCACTTTTAGCTGCAGATCTTGAATAGATAATTCATGGTAAGCGAAACATTCACTGCAAAGGTATTGAATTACATTTTTTTTGTCAAAATTGAGTTAAAGTCGAAAGACGTTCCTAAAACCCTGAAAATTATTACATTTTCTCACGGGAGCAAAAGTACGTAGAGATGCCTCTTAAGAGGCATTTCAACAGGAGCCTCTACAGCTTCGACTGAAAAAGCGGAGGTTGGCACCTACTTCCAACGATCATTAAATTATAACCAACGTTCGCTGCGAGTGGCTGTATTGAGCAGGGGAGGGCTCTCGTGCCCTCAGCAAAAAAAAAATACAGCAAAAACGAACAAAAAAAAAGAGCTTGGGTATGACAGCATCGCCCTGCAGGTTTTGGTTTCGTCAATAGAAATCCCTTTGATTCCGTTCTACTAATCGGATCACTCGCTCCGCAGGTCTACCTCGGCTTATTATGCGAAGACGTTCCTCACTTGAAATAAGTGGAGATGCAGTGAAGCAGGGCAAGAGAAAGGACGGGAGCCGATCGGTCCACATTTTCTGCTATTGTGGTTCCCTTTTATGAATACAACCCACTCTTCTGACACGTGGAAATCGTCCTAAGATTATACACTTCAGACCGAAACAGGAGAGAAACGTGAAGCATCTGACATGCACTGCCAAATCTGTTAGCGTAAATGATGCGTGGCTGAGGCAAAGGGCAGGGCAGGGCGAACATTATAAGGCCAGTGCCTTATAATGGCTACGCCGCTCTGAGCTGCCCCCATTTTGCCACGAACATTGTCGCAAATGAATTATTGGAGGCGCCACGGTTCCCTCACTCTTCCCATCAGGAAAGAATGGAGATATTGGGGTATGCACCGAATACCAGGAAAGCGAAGGTCCATGGACAAGCACAAGAGGAGGGATTGAACAATAATGAAGGTAGAATGAAAACTCTTAATGATGAGCATAAAACCGAAGAGAGTCCCAAAGTCACAGAATGAAGCGATGCGGAGAAAACTTGCCCAACGCTTGAGGAATGGAGGAAAAGAGCAGCACCACTGACAACGCCAATTTCCTTTTCTTTCCCCCCTCAATCTTTTGTGCTTCTGGGCGATTGTTAAGCGTCAAAATATGAAGTCACGTCTCGGGAAAGTCTCTGATGAAACGTCACCAACTTGTCCGGACGTTTGATCGATGTAGGCTAATTGGTATGCATGCATCAGCTTCATGCATCAGGTTGATGCATGCATCAAGCTGATGCATGCTAAGCGTCCCGATAGCGAAGGGGCTTGAGGGAAGAAGAAAATTAAATTGGCGTGAACGCCAATCTCTTCCTCCTTTCTGCACAAATTTTCTGCACATCGCCTCATCCGATGACCTTGAAGCTTTTCTCGATTTCCCAACACTTCTTTCAGAGTTTCCATCCCACGTTTCATTTATAATCTTCTGGGGGTTTGTCTCAATCGATTAGTCTGATCCACCGCACCCCTTTAAACTGGAGTCCTTGGCAAGTTTTCACTGTGAATATTCATCCTTCGTCCTAGAAACTCTAATCAATTTCGTGACGCAATACTACGAGCTGGTGCATCATATTTAATTAAGATTACTCAGCTCCTTGGTGCTGCTTTTTTGGCAATGAGTAAGCATCTCAACAGAGTCATTTGTTAACTAGAAGATTCTGAAAATCCGTCGGGAAGTTCTCACGCTTGGCAGGTTTAAGGAAGAAGTCAGACAGGTAAATATTCATTCTATTTGAGGGGAAACCCTCCATGCGCAACAAAGCGCTCAGTCCGTTTCTGGCTCGCAGTTTTTCTTCCCGTCGCCTCAGGAACAGGAAATTACTACACGCAGGGGCTTCAGTGCACAAAGGAATTCGAAGAATCCGCAGACGGCTGGTGCCGATAAAGCTAAAAGAAAAAAATTGTGGTTTCCACTTTCATGAGAAAGCCGATGTTATCGAGGCTGTGATTACCGGAACCTGGCTGAGTAAATAACGTACATGCAATGTCGTTCCCATTTTCAAAATATAAAAGTAAAAATAAAAATAAACAAAAACAAAAGAAAGCAGGAAAACACGATCCGTGATTCAGAATCTGCAAGGACAAAGAGAAGTCTCATAACGGAGTTCCTGCCCCTGAAATTGAATTGCAGTTCTCCCAAAGGGAATCGGCTCTCTCCATGTCTTCTGCCATCTACCGTATATGTCGGTAGGGACCCAAGGTGTCGGACTGCAGGGATCGTGACAGGATGCGTGACACACCCACTTATCGTATGCGCATGATTTGCGGGACAGAAATTCAAGTCTGACAGGCGTGACTAGTGGCTGCTTCTTGGCAAACGCCCTTATTGGAGGGCAATCATTCTAGTTCTTTTAGTGGGAGCTGGGGTGGGGTAATAGTGAAGGTGAAGGTGAAGGTGAAGGTGAAGGTGAAAGTGAGGGTGATGGTGAGGGTGGGAGGCAGCAGGTGGGTCGCCATGTTCGGGGGTATCTCATCCTTACTTGTTTTTACGTCATAGGAGATCGTGAACACATTTTTAATATCTCGTCTCTATGTATCTGAACCCGGGCATCTTCTAACAGTCCCTTCGTGTGCAATAATACCATTCTCTTATTCATTTCCACCTTTTTCGTGACCATTGCATCAGCACGAGAGCGGAACACGTCATTGGGACGTTGTATTATCGTTCGAACTCTAGCAAGTTTTGCTTTGTTGGTCCTCGTTCATAAATGGTTCTTTGGAGACAAAAACGACTGTTGTTTGATTTTTTCTCCGTGCTTCCAGGAAGACTACGAGGATAAGGAGACTTCAGCAATCACGCAACGCTCGTATCGGAGCGCCAACAGACGCAGAACATCACCACGTGCGATCGAAGATCTGCGACAGGAGTAGCGAAAGTGACTCGGATGATAGAGATCAGCACGAGCCTCTGCCAGGCAAGCGCAACAGACATCTCCGTGAATATTCACGAATCTAAGGAGGGGTGTGCAAAAGAGAAGGCAATCCAGTGCGGTGGACGGATGACCTTGCCGTCTCCAGAACTAAGGTTCATCTCATCGTCAGTTCGGGAGCATAGCGCCCTTTGTCGGGACTGCTCCGTCGAGTTGCTTTTCATGACTATGACGACCTCTATGACGACCTCCCTCTGCATCG